AATATCGGCATATCGGATATCGGCCAAAATCCCAATATCGTGCATCCCTAGTATCGGGTATTGGGGCCAAAAAATGCCATCGGCGCAACACTAGTAAAAGCCCAACTAATATCAGTCAGCTATCAAACTGTTTTTCGTCATGGCATGTCTAGTTTTAAGGATGGACAGTAACATTTAGGCTTGCTCTCCTGGTCTGCTCATAGATCGCATTCTGATATAAGAATATATATTTTTTTTAAGTTAGAGAGAAATTAAGGCAGGATGTTAGCATGTTTTCAAGATGACAAACTGTGTTGGTTACAGGGTTGAGATTGGGGGGGTAGTGGATTTAATATTTCCCATTAAACGCTTTAAAGATATTTTGTGATTTTCCTCAAGAAATGTGGGTTTTATCTTCCTGTATCTCACTGGTTATCCAATTAGATTATTTGAAGCTTTAACTTGCACATCAGGATGAGTTTTGGGCTCAACTTTTGAGTCATCCAGATGTGAGTCGACTATTTAATCAGTCGACTCGTCCATTTTTTGCTGAATGCTCTGTCATAAACGTACTTCAAACCCAGCCGGTGCCTGTCCGTCCTGGTTCGGTAACGGCCCCGAGTCCCCGAGGAAACCAAACATCCGGTCCACCATGTCTGAGTGGTCCACTGGCTGCTCCTTCTCCCTTTCCATCTGCTCCAGCAGCTCCTTCTTCCTCCTTGCCTCCTCTTTCTCCTCCCTCTCCCGCTCCTCCTGCTGCTTTGCCAGCTGGAGGAGTCGCTCCTGGTGCTTCCTCTCGGCCTCCGCCTTGGCTCGCCGAACCGTCATCTGGTTCCGGAGCTGCTCCTCCTCAGCCAGGCGCTGCCGTTCGGCTTCCAGGCGCCGCTTCCGCTGTAAGGTCAGAAAAGAGAAGAAAAGGTCTTTACAGAGACAGACAATCTATTTAAAACTCCAGCTGTGCAGGTAAACACTTCAGAAAATTTTTAAAAACAAATAATACTATTGAGAGAGATATATAAGCATCTGATTTCCTGTTTGATGCTTACTAGATTCTTTAAAATTTTAATTATTACAGTAATTTCTTCAAGTATTTCCATCAGAATATATACTAACAAAAACATTTTTTGTCATCTTTTTTCTTTAATCATTAAAGGATAAAGTATAAAATTATATTTCTACATTAATTATTAAACTCAGAAGCAGAAGCTTCACATCTATCTAACATTTATGTTAACAAAGCCATTTACTAAAAGAAAACTAATTATAAAAAAAATTAATATAAAGTTATAACTAAAACCATTTAATCATTTCTGGCTTATTATAAATTCATTATAAAAACTTTCTAGTCACTTCTTAGTTCTTCTAAAGAATCAATTCATTAATTAACCTCAGTGAAATCCTAGTGCAGTTGATTCATTACTTTTATTTTGTAGTATTTTCTAATTTCCCCAGCTCTGATATCGTTTTATTCTGCCCATAATCCACAGCAGTTTAATCCTATTCTAGGATAACACTAAAAACACCAAAATGGCAAATCTCTGACCTTTTCTTTTTAAAGTAAACCTTTATTTATTTTTACAAAAATACAAACAGAACAGAGAAGAATCATTTAAGGCCCATTAAGGCCCATTTAAGGCAATGACAATAAAGGACGAGGTTAAAACACAATGAATAAATAAAAATACAAAAAATAAATAAATAAAAAGACAATTAGAATGTAAAAATTTATATATTATATAAAAAAAAAAGTCATATTTAAAAGAGGTTGCTGGTTTATCAACCAATCAGCTTTCTTCTGATGGATGTTGTTTAACAAGTTAAAAATACTCTAAGGTAATTTTTATTAATAACTCCGTCTGGTGTCTACGGAAGAGGATTAGGGCCACTAAAAAAAAAAAAAAGTTCACTGATTTTTAAATTTTATTTCAGTTAAACATGGGAAAAAAGTCAGAATTCTGACTTTAATCTCAGAGTTCTGACTTTTTTTATTGTCAGAATTCAGTCAGAATTTTGAGATTAAAGTCAGAATTCTGAGAAAAAAGTCGGAATTCTGAAAAAAAGTCAGAATTTTGAGATTAAAGTCAGAATTCTGATTTTTTTCCCATAATATACTGAAATAAAATAAAAAAAATCAGTTAACTTTTTTTTTTTTAGTGGCCCTAATCCTCTTCCGTAGGTGTCCTTTAGACAAACACTGAGCAATTAAAGGTTAAAATACATTTCCATAGTGCAAATCACAGACATGTTGCTGTAGGTAAATAAAGATGAAATATCAGTGTGAAGGTTCTGTTCTCAAGCCATTAACTCAAATATTTGCTCTTAAAACTGAAATTCTTAAAACAAAAATTTAAAAGAAATGATAAACTTATGAAAAAAAAACAAAAAAACAACAAAAATATTCGACTCTTTCAGCCTCAGTGGCGTCGGTAGTCGGCCGCTCTGTACCTTTAAATAAAACCAGTCAATCACAAACAGACTTTATTATGACAAGATGAGCAAAAAATAAAGAATATTTTCCACATATCATGGATCACAGAGCATCTCCTCTTCAGTGAAATGAAAAAGAAAATAAAACAAAAGACTTAATATTGTAGTAAATAACCCTTTTAAAATCATTAAATACAACAATCGCCCAGGCAACTGTTATTTAATTACTCTTTTCTCTGTGGTGGTGAATCAATTTTGATTAATCCATTTATTTTCATGGGTTGATGTAAATAAAATATGATTAACGCATCAGTAAACACTTTTAGAGTAAACTAGAGGGAGGGATTGTTAAGAAAAGTGGAGAAAACACACAACAAAAGAAAGCTTTTTCTTTTTATTGTTATAATTGTTTTTTATAGTAAAATATTTCTCCAGATATCCACTAAAGCCCTTCATTATTCTAGCTTAGAAATGATAAATGTGTGTCTTATATAAAGTTGGTTCAGATTCAATTTTAATAATAAATTAACGTGCTTTAGCGGCGCAGTGGTTGGCACGCACAATCTTAGAGACCTTAGTTGACCCGGGTTCGACTCCAACCTGTGCTCCTTTGCTGCATGTCTCTCCCCCTCTCTAAAACCCCTATCCTGTCAGCCTACTGTTGAAAAAATGAGCCACTAGTGCTGTAAAACTAAAAACAAAAACAAAAAAAATACTGTAAATTAAGTTATTTAATTTTAACGTTTATATCGGTGTGGTGTAATCTGTTATAAACGGTATTTTTTTTATTGTGGAGGGCTGAACAGGAATAATAATAAATTCATTTAATTTATACTGCACTTTTCACCAAAAAGGCCTCAAAGTGCTACAAAAATGCATTTAAAAAAAGCATTAAAAAAGAAATACATAGAAATAAAAGAAATAATACTAAAAAATATATATATATATATATAAAATGAAATAAAAAATATAAAATAAAATAATAAAAGAGAAAAAAGAAACATCTAAGGGGGACCAAAAGTTTTGCTAAAAAATGTTTTAAGGCCTTTTTTACAACATTCAGTGGACTGAGGAGCCCTCAAGGTGTCAGGGAAGGAATTCCACAGATGTGGGGGCATCGTCCTGAGTCTGGTTCTGGGAATGTGGAGCAGGTTTGAGTGAGTGGAGCGAAGGAAGCGGGACGTATTCTGTGGCTTGATAAGTTCTTTGAGGTAGGGAGGGGGGCATGTCCATGGATGCCTTGATGTGTAATGAGGGAGACCTTGTATTCTATCCTGGTGGGGATGGGAAGCACTTTGGGTACCACCGGTTGTGGTAAAGAGGCAAAAAATAAAGGGATGGACTTTCTCTACAACGGCTTGCTTGGCCTCTTTTTAAAACAAAAAAGCATGACAATTGACACAAAAAAATTTGGCAGGTAACTTATGTTACAAAACATGAAACGCTTTATTATAGCGTATTTCCTTGACTTTCTCACAGCAGAAAGGCAAACCAGTCAAACAAAAGAAGAGCCTAAGAGGGTTAGACGCAACGGCAAAATATCCGGGAACCAATGAGGGATATTTACAGGCCAGAATAAACTTAAATATAACACTAAAGGGCTGGTTATCCTCCAACAGCAGTGTTTCGCAGTTAGCTCTTTGCTAGCCTCGTGAGACCATCCTGATCTCGCGAGCTTTCAAGGTTTCACTGGCAGATCAGTCTGGAGACTCCGTTAAAGAAAAT